ATTTTTTGGGGGGGCAGGGGGGGCAGGGGATTGCTATCTAAACCAGAAAAAACCCAAATCATACACTAAAAGTCAAACATCTACTATAACATATTTTAATTTTATTACAAAAAATATTGTTGTCATGATTTGTGTTTGCATAGTGTATATAGAAGTGACTGCATAATAGGTCAAAAATAAAGTCTTGCTCTTGTATTTTGGGTGTGGGGAGAATGTATGGGGTGTGGTTGGGGGTGCGGGTGTGCGTATGGTGGGCTGTGGGGGGATGTATGTGGTTTGTAAGGGGTATAGGATATGTTGGGGGGTTATGGGGGCAGGGTATGGGTATCTGGGGTTTGCGGGGACCCCACGCACATTCCTCCTCATGGCACACAGCCCCCACCACCAGCAGCAGCAGCAGGTGACAGGCGCAAGGGGTGCTCGTGGCCCATGCAGGCTCTGCCGCCCATCAGTGAGCGACTACAGCCAGCACTGCACGTGACAGCAAGAAGCACAGCTAGGCCGGCCCGCCTCTACTGCATGAGATTCCACAAAGCACACATGCAACTCCTGGCATGATGGCGCCAGCTGCCACCATGGAAGCAGGTGACAGAGCTCCCCACCACTTCTGGCAGAGCCCTGGCAGCTGCACGTAGCTTGGAAGGCAGCCGGGAATTCTCCCAGTGGTACACGAGTGTGGGAGCTGCACATCTACCATGGGGAGCCCTGTATAATATAGGTGGGCTGGCCTAGCTGTGCTCCTTATCGCCATGTGCAGCACTGGCCGGAGCCATGCGCCACCAGGCAGCAGTGCCACAAATGCCCCGAGGGCCCCTGCCTGCTGCTGGTGGTGGCAGAAGCTGTGCGCCATGGGGGGGAGTATGTGTGGGGGAGTCCCCACAGCCTCCCACCCTCCACACTCACACCCTGCCCACTCAAGCTCTGTGCTCCTGCCAGCTGCCTGCATGGCCAGGATCCACACAGCGTGGCACAGAACCAGCCCGGCCCAGCCTGGCAGCATGCGGTTCCCATCCATGGCTGGGACCCACACAGCGAGGTACGGAGCCAGCCCAGCTCCGTGGCGCACTAGAGTGCCAGGAGCCATGAGAAGTCCTGCGCCATCAGGCTGGGCCAGCTCCATGACTCCACATGGTGCTCCTGGCAGGGAGCGACACAGAGGCATGGAGCCAGAGTCTTGCAAGCCCCACGGAGTGCGGCAACTGCCAGCACCCCCTCCACCTAGCCTGTTCTTATATGAATTTCCACTCTTGGACGAAGGGAAGGCTGAGGAACCTCAGGGGTGCCAGGACAGAAACCTCTGCTAGGTCTCCAGCTTCTGGGGGATTAGGGGGCAGTGCTGGGCAGGTCAGGTTGGGGTTGGATTGGTCATGTAGCAACCAGAGCCCCAGCTGCTTGCTACTGCAGCTGGCTCCTCCTGCCGCAGGCACCTCATTGGCTTTCAGCCAGGCAGCTACTGGCAGGTAAATTTTAGAAGGGCCCCACAGGCCAGCTAGAATGGCCTGCCGGGCCAGATTCGGCCTGTGGGCCATATTTCACCCACCCCTGGTCTAGCTTCATCCTCGTTGAAATCACCCTTCAGGTAGTTAAAGGCTGCTATTAAATCCCCTCTCAGTTCTCTCTTCTCCAGATGAAATAAGCCCAGTTCCCTCAGCTCTTCCTAAGTCCTGTTCCTTAGCCCCTTAACCATTTTCACTGCCTCTCTCCAGTTTGTCCACTCTTTTCTGTAGTGGGTTCCCCAAAACTGGATACAGTACCCCAGATATGGCCTTCCCAGTGTCAAATAGACAGGAATAATCACTTCCCTCAATCTGCTGTCAACGCTCCTACTAATGCAGCCCAGTATGCCGTTAGCCTTCTTCACAAGGATACACTGTTGACTCATATTCAGCTTATTGAGTACTGTAACCCTGGGTCCTTTTCTGCAGAGCTGCTGCTTAGCCAGTCAGTCCCCTGACTGTAGCAGTGCATGGGATTATTCCATCCTAAATGCAGGATTTTGCACTTGTCCTTATTGAACCTCATGAGATTTCTTTTGGTTCAATCCTCCAATTTGTTTATGTCTCTCTGCATCCTAGTTCTACCCTCCAATGTATCTACTACTCCCCCCCAGCTTGGTGTCACCTGCACACTTGCTGAGGGTGTACTCCAGGCCATCTTTTAGATCACTGATGAAGGTATTGAACAAAACCAGCCCCAGGACTGACCCCTGAAGAACTCCACTTGAGAGCAGCTGCCAACTAGATGTTGAGCCATTGATTACTACCCTTTGAGCCCAACAATCCAGCCAGTTCTCTATCTACCTTTCAGTCCATTCATCCAACCTGTACTTCCTTAGCTTGCCTGCAAGAATGTCACAGGAAACCTATCAAAAGCCTTGCTAAATTCAAGGTATATAGTGTCTACTGATCTCCCATCAGCAGAGCCAATCATCTCACCATAGAAGGCAATCAGGTTAGTCAGGCATGACTTGCCTTTGGTGAATCTATGATGATTGTTCCTAATCACCTTCTTCTCCTCCAAGTGTTTAGAAATGGATTCCTTGAGGATCTGCTCCATGATTTTTCTAGGGACTGAGGTGAGGCTGACTGGTCTGTAGCTCCCTGGATCCTCCTTCTTCCCTTTCTTAAAAGATAGGCACTATGTTCACCTGTTGTCCGGGACCTGTCTCAATTCCCACAGAGTTTTCAAAGATAATGGCCAGCGGCTCTGCTATCACATTGGGCATGTCCCTCAGCATCCTTGCATGCATCACTTCCAGCCCCAGGGACCTGTATACATCCAGCTTTTCTAAATTGTTCCTAACCTGATCTTTCACCACTGTCAGCTGCTCACTTCCTCCCCAAACTGTACTGCTAGGTGCTGTAGTCTGGGAATTGATCTTGCCTGTGAAGATTGAGCTGAAAAAAGGTATTGAGTACTTCAGCATTTTCCACATCATATGTCACTAGGTTACCTCCCCCATTCAGTAAGGGACCCACGGTTTCCCTGATCTGCTTCTTGCTGCCAACATACTTGTACAAACCTTTACTGTTCCCCGTCACGTCCCTTGCTAGCTACAACTCCAATTGCACTTTGGCCTTCCTGATTTCATGGTTGCATGCCTGAGTGATACTCTTGTCCTCCTCCCTAGTCATTTGTCTAAATTTCCACTTCCTGTAAGCTTCCTTTTTGTGTTTTAGCTCACTGAAGAGTTCCCTACTAAGTCAAACTGGTAGTATGATATGCAATTGGGAAAAGAATGCTATGTATTCCTTGTTGTTCAAATCCTTGTTACAAATCCTTGTTTTTCAATTAAAATGTTGTTGTCAGGGATGTCCAATCTGCAGCACATGTGCCATAAGTGGCACAGGCAGCCTGTGCGTGGCATATGGCAGATCATGAAGGGATCAAGGAACACAAGAACAGACAGGAAAGGGAGCAAGAAGCAGAACAACAGACCAGGACGAAAAAACAAGGTAGGGAGCGGAAAGCAGAACAACAGATCAGCCACAGGAAGGGGATCAGAGTAGTGCTCAGGGAACATACAGGGCTTACCTTGCACCATGCCGCCCAAAAAGATTGCCCCCCCCCCACACACGCACCTTAAACTGAGGCAATTTGACCTCTGTGGGTTTTTTTTTAAAGCTAGTAGCCACCTAATTTTCTTGGTTTATAGACACAGCAACCTGGTGGGAATCTCATTGGGTTTTAAGATGAAAGCATCAAGTGGAACTCTGAAGCACCAATGCAATAACTTACACTTTCTGCATCTCTTTGCATTCAAAAGCTGATCTAACTCTATCCCAACTACATGGTAGGTTCAATAAGAGACCCCGCTCAAAGGGTGGAAACGGATGTCCCCAGACGTCTCATTTATGCTTCCATGATGTGTTTTACGGCAGCACAAATGCTGAGCAAATAGACATTGATACCCTTCACTGTGTCATATGAAAGGAAAATTGGTAGCGCACCAAAAGCTAGTAATTGAATCTGCTGCTTTATTGTGGCAAACGTCTATTACCTCTGTAGCACTTCCCCTGCTCAGGCAGACCCCTGACCCAGGAAAAGCACAGAGATCATATTGCTCTTTCTCCTGCACCATCAAGGGCAGGACAAAGGGTGACATGTACCTGGGCAGATCTAAGATTTTGAGAAGTGGGGGGGAAAGCTACAGTGGCACATCATCACACATATATAACACAACACACATTTTTCTCCAGTTAAAGAGAAACTAAAAGCTTTACTAACATGCTAGGGGGTGAGGACTATATTTTTCAGCTTGAGAAATTGGAATGTGCACTGATTTGCTAGACTATATACCAGGTTTAAAAAAAAACACAACCAACTAAGCAAAAACAGTCAAAGGATTGGGCCTGCAGTCATTAGAGTTCACTGTATATCTCTTTTTCAGATCCAAAAAACAAAATCTAGTCTTTTTACGTGTCTTGATGGTGCCTCCAAAGCTGCACTATCAGTCACTTCTACCCCGAGGTGACAGGACCACGATGGAGTGAAGATTTTCAGCTAAGATTAAAAGAGTCTGCAGGGCTGTGAAGCAGAAGAGAGACACTCCCAGGAGGGGCTAACAGGCAACCATGCTGCAAAAGAAACCATAGTTTGAACGTTGAAACCTGGAGGCTATTAAAAGTTTAGAGGGTGGTTCATACCTGTGGCGTAGAAAGAGATTGGCAGGAATCAGGAAGATGACAAAGAGCCGTGAAATCAGTGGACTCCCTCAGCCCTCCCTGCAGAGAAGCATGCTCCTCCCAGGGTTGTTGGCTGTAGTGTTGGTCTAAAGATGCTGGCAGACATGAACAATGCGTGCCCCAAGAGGCTGGGGGGACATGGTGACCACCTGCAGGCAACGGCGGTTTCAGTGGCGGCAAGCTCCCACAGGCAGCCGCAGCAGTGTCGGTGGCAAGGCAGGGGGATGGAGAGTGCCAACCGGCGGTCAGCAACCACCCGCAGATGCCTCTAGCAGTATTAGCAGTGGCCAGAGGCGATTAGCAACAGCCCACAGATGCTGCCCGTGGGGGTAGGTTGGTGCCTGCAGGCAGCCGCTGCTCACTACTGGCAGCTTTTTTCTCAGGGGGTGCACCGCCAATCTCAGGGTGTGCATGTACACCCATGTGTACCCCTACATGGCACCAATGTCGGCAGACAAGGTTCTTTGGGTAGATGTGACCTCTTGTATTAAACCAATTAAACAGTTGGAAATTTTTTCTTTGTTAGCTTGCTTACAGCCCCCCACTCCCGCTTTTGCAGACCCCTGGCTGGGGGCGCAGCTAGGTCCTACTCATCGCACATCCACGCTCCCACATTAGCACTGCGCATGCGCGAGAGCAAGCCACCCCCGCCCCTGGTGCGAAGCTCTCCCGCTCGTTAGAGCCGGTGCCTCGTTTTCATCCACACTCCCCTCCCCTCCCCTCCCCGTTCGATCTCTTCTGTCCGCGCAAGGGTGGCGGTACCTTACGACTACACTTCCCAGTATGTAGCAAGATCAGCCGATGCACGCATGCGCTTTCTAAACGTGGGGGGCGGACTCTTCACTCACCCCGCGCGGTCCCATCATGCACCTGGACGGCGGCACTTGAGAAGCAGCGCGCGTGCGCGAGACGCAAGCAAGGCCTCGGTGATCCCGGAAGCGACCGTTTGCCGAGGGGGCGTCACATCCAGCCGGCATTTTGTGCGGAGTCGGAGCGCGGCGCGGAGCTGAGCTGGTGGGGAGGCTGCAACCATGACGGACCGCTACACGATCCACAGCCAGCTGGAGCACCTGCAGTCCAAGTACATCGGCACGGGCCACGCCGACACCACCAAGTGGGAGTGGCTGGTGAACCAACACCGTGACTCCTACTGCTCCTACATGGGCCACTTCGACCTGCTCAACTACTTCGCCATCGCCGAGAACGAAAGCAAGGCGCGCGTGCGCTTCAACCTCATGGAGAAGATGCTGCAGCCCTGCGGGCCGCCCGCCGACAAGCCCGACGAGTCCTAGAGCCAACCCGGCCTGGCCCGGCCCCGCCCTGCCATGCGCTGAGCCGCAAACCACCCCGGCGGGGACACCGGCAGAGGCCTGAGGGGCCCTCGAGGCTGAAGATGGACGGCGCTTGCTGTGGAACTGACGGACATAGGTGCCTCTATGCCCATGTGTACGGCAGACTCCTGGTGTTTCTTCACCCTCCGGTTTTTTTAACGTGAAAGACAAACGTCCCGGGCATTTCCTGATTGCAGCTGGCGGGGGTCTGCAGCAGCCCTAGTTGCAGGAAGAGGACTGGCTGCACTTACCGTTGTTTTCCTTTATGTATATGAATGCGATCACTTATAGGGAAATATATGTAACTTGTTCCGACTGCAAAATTTAAATTTTCATCTTTCGAGTGTTTCAGTTCAGACAACTGAAATCTCTCTGTAGAGATGGAGATATATATATTTTCCTATAAAATATATGTACATGTTGAATCTTAGGCTATTGCTGCAAAGCCGTGGGCATGGGCGGGGGAGTGAAGAAACTGAAATTCTCTCTCTTCATCCACCTCCTTCCACACACAAACCCCTCTTTCACTTTATGGCTTTCATAAAGTCAGGAACCTCCGCTGATTTCCTGCCCTGTGTTGTAGAGGTCTCATTAGCCATACTTTCACCTTAAGGCGCAGGCATGATGGTACTCGCAACTCTGTGTACTGCATCTAGTGCAAGACAACATTATCTCCTTATGGCTTAAGTAATATAAAGCTGTGCAATACAGCAACACAGAGGATTGAAATTGATGGCCTATTTCTTTAAATAGCTTGTTTTGTATATTCTTTTTTCTGAGTTCTCAGTGTTGCTTTGGTTGTTTTTTTAACTCCTACTGTTTTCTTAACTTGCCTCTTCACTTTTTTCTCTTCTGTACTGCACCATGTTCTAACAACAAAATTAAATTTTAATCTTTAAAGTGCTCGAATACAGACAAGCTTCCATGTATAAAACATAGGCTGGAGTAGGAGAGGTCTAGGAAAAGCCAAATGATTCTCCGCTAAAAGATTTTTTTTTCCCCTCTTTTCCCCCATTGGATCAAACTTGAGCTCTCCCTTTAGGTCTGTTTCGTTCAAGAGTTAAGTGCTTAGAACCCGTGTGTGGACAAAGTCTGTTTGGGTGATAAAAGGATAAAGCAAGTATGTCGCTACAACACTGTTACCCATGTAGAATAAATATTGCTGCTCCTGATTTGTTGCATAACTTGAGTTAAAATGTTTCTGTTAGCAAAAGTTAATGTCATGTAGTCCACTTACATGCATACCAAGCAAAAGTATAATTTGGTTAACAGCATAATACAGTGCCAGTTCAAGTATTTTTGCCTATTTTACATTGTAATAAATATAACTACTTAGCATGTTTCAGCTCTGCTGTCTGCTTTGTAAATATAGCTGCACAATAAATTGGTGCTAGAAACACTGAAGGGGAAATAACCATGAAAATAGCTGCTGTTAGAAGCCTAGTAAATGATAGATGCTAGTCAGTTCCCAGGGTACTTATCTCCCTGCACTTACAGGGCTACTATTAGAAGTAAGGTCGAGTTCTTAATGAGCATTGCTTACATCAAGTACATGGCCATTTTTCAGTCCCAAGGCTGTGTATTAAAGTATATTTAGTGGAGGCCACCATCTCCACTTCTCTTTTTTATTTTTGGGGGTTGACAAGGGCCTATTCATATCTCTTATTTTTCGAACTAGTGTGCTGGCTAAGGTATATTACATAGTATTGGAAGGAGAGATTCTTAGCATGGTGTATAAGTAGGGGCTGTTTTCTTGTTGCCTTCTGAAAGAAAAGCTTGCAAGAAAGAGTTGACAATAAACTCTAATATTATAAAAGCCTAAGTCTGTCCATAATGCTTTATTCGTGCTCTGATCGGCTGACTGAAACAGCCGATCAGAGTGCTGCAAGTGTGGGGGAGTGCCGCCATGATTCCAAAGCTGTGGAGGACTGGATAGAGGGTGGGGGAGCAGAAGCCCCCAACCCTGCTCCCTGCAAGAGGCAGAACAGTGGCAGTGTGGGGTGTTAGGTGTCGGCACTCCATCCCAGCCCCCTCTGCCCCATCATTCTTGATGGGCAATTGGCTAGTACATTAATATTCTTTAAAATTATTTCACTATATTTGGTAACTGAAAGAAAAAAGTTTTGTCTTTTCTGCCTGCTTTGAACTGTCACGACACCAAAATGAGTTCAAATGCTCTTTCCAGCACAGTGAGCTTTTTTGAGGTGAAGGTAAATTAAGTAGAATGTAAACTGATGTAGGCTGGACAGGAGGGGAAAAAACATAATCTTGAATGTCTGTCTTACCAATATACACATGCATGCTAGTCACCCTATTTTAATATAAGTTAACTTTTAGAGTGACGCAGAACTACTTTGGTTACACATTACTTTTCTCTCTTCTGTCTATCATGTTAAGACCCAGTCTAAATGGGAAAGTTTTACTGGTTATACCAATCCAAACTTCCCCATTGTAGATATTTATTCTAGTATGACTGACTTTTTTTAAGTGACCAAAACAAAAAACCTCATATCTTTTACCTGAATAAGTGTTTGTGGGAAGTGGGGGTGGGAAATTACACCATATCAAGTAATTTAACAGTTTAAAAAATCACTTTGAATCCTTTTCTTAAAATGTGAAGTTGGTGGAATGTTGCTAACATTTTACTAAAGAATGGAAACAAGGAAGAGGGAGTGATCATTTTAAAAGCTTACTTCAGCCAGAGATGATCATTTCATGAAATTTCAAATCAAAGACAATTCTCTAACCAAAAGGCTTTCTCTCTCCTGCAATGACTAATGTATTGGGAGTGTTAAAGTGATGTTATAGTCATTGATGGTCCAGGACATATGCAAGAGGCAAACATTTTGTACGTAATATCTTTAATTGGACCAACTGCAAGGTTGAAAGAGATGAACTTTTGGATATCATAGTACCCTTAAGTCTCTGGGAGGCAAGCAGACACAGCACAGCTAAGTAGCAGATGGAACAAGGCTTGTGTCAGTCGTTTTAAGTCTATCCCAGCCATTCAGTTGGTCCAATAAAAGATATAATTTACAAAAATTCTTGCCTAAAGGAGGTATTGGAGCTCCTCAAATGGTGCTGCAAGAATCTTCTTTAGGAATGAAGGATGTGAAGGGACTGCTTGGGTTGTCCCATACAAAGGGAAAATATTAGGCAAAATAGGGGTTGTTACTAGCCCCCTATATAATACATAGCTATAATTTTGTGCTATTGAACTTAACAGTATTCTTTGAAAGCAGCATGTATAGCTACAAATAAAGATCTACTTATCAGTTAACAGTTTATTGTCTTTCAGTTTGAGTTTGATGCATTGGCCCCATATTCTTCTGTTTCAAGAGGGTAAATAGGAGCATCTGAGTTATTTTCTCTCCCATTGTGAAATTGTACACAAGCTAACAATAGTGCGTGATGCCTTTCTCCATGAGGCAGTCTAGTATTTCCCCCAGAACAGGAGTCATCGTGCCTATAATTATTGCTGTTTCTTTCTGGACCCATTTTATTACTAATATCTAGACACATGGAACTGGAAGGGGCCTCCTAGGCTACTGAATTCGGTCCCCTGTGTTCACAGGCAGCCATGTACCTGAGGAACTCCCAACATCTATATATGAAGGGATCAGGGTTGGCCAACTGGTGGCTCAACTCCTGCATGTGGCTCTCAAGAGGCGAGCAGGGGCCTGTAGCTGCCTCCCACTGCTGCATGGTGGGCAGAACTTGGGGATCTCTGTTGCTGCTGCCATAGTCTGCACACTGGGAGCTAAGGTGGGCCTGTGCGGCTGGGGTTTAGACACAGGAGGAGTTGCGGGAAGGGTTGCTCTGCTGCTGCTGCCAGGGAGTGGGGAATGCATGCCACTGCCACTGCTACATCCCATGCAGTGGAGGCAGTCCAGGGGGGGCAACCCTGCAGTGTGCAGCCTCCATGGTGTGTGGGCCCTGGGGCTGCATACAGGTGCTACATGTGGTCTCCAGCCACTCTGAAGTTGGACAGCCCTGGCAGATTTTAAGTATAATTTTTCATCTGAGATGATCAGTACTAATCACTGTATTAGAAATGGTTTCATTCAGTTCTTGCATATGCCTAAATCTATATTTGTGTGTCATGGCATGTGGAAAGATGTTCCCAAAGGGCTGTCCCCAGTGATCCCAAACTCATTCCTCTGAATGATCATTATTTCATTTTATGTCAAGCTTAAATGTGAACAGTTAAAATATTTTGAATTTTATTTGTCTTTGTCCTGCTTACCCTTGTGTCTTTGAGTTCCAGTTTACTCTTGGAGTTAGTTTAAAGACACTGTTCAAATAATCTGCCAATACTCCAGAAAAATAATATATGGATTAATATCTGTGTCAATAGAAATTATTGTATCATCTCATCACTGACTATAGCATATTACTGTATAAGCGTTTCAAATCTATGTTAGTCACTTTGCCTTACATCTGAATTTTCTTGGCAACCTCTCCTGAGGAATTTGGGCCATGGTTTGGGGGAGTTCAAATCACATTGACCTGTTTTCTTTCACTTGCAATTATGTTGGCATGTTTGGAAAATTCTAGAAGATGTTATTTTTAGTGAATAGTCTATAATCCTGGAGTTAGTTCAACAGAGTGCAAGGATGCAAAGAAGGAGAGTTAAGGTTTATACACCATACTACAAGTTAGCAGGATTGCACGAGTGTAAATGAGGGGAAGTTTGGCCTTCACCATCTTTATGATTCAGGACAAGAGAAGAACCTAACTACTCTAAGTTACCCAGGAGAAGTGTGTAGGGCTAGCTGTTAAGATTTATCAACTCAATAAGCTTGATCAAAACAGTGAGACTTATAGAGCATGTAACACTCAAAAAGTACAGAAGAGAATTATTGTGATAGTTGCTGTTTTTCCTGCAGTGTACATGTCTGACATGCTGCTCAGCATAAGGATTGATTTTTTTTTTTAATTAGAAAACTTGTGTACATAGTCAAGTTGTTTTAGTAGATTCTGTTTTGGATGGCAGTTTCATTATTAATGTATGTTTATTCTACACCAGAGGGTGGCAGACAACATTTTTTTTTTCAGCAGAAGAATGGATATTTTAGGATTCAGGTAAGGCAGGTAATGTTAAATAACAGAAGAGTAGTTGCACAATGGTTGGCACAATTCTTTTTCTAAATATATGAAGCATAATAAAAGTGATCTTGAAATTGAAACCATCATTTACATACAAATGAGTATCCTCTGTAACATAAGCTTGGAGTTCAAATACTTGCTATTGTATCTTTCCTTCTCAAAAGGCAATTGGATTGTTTTAATTTGGAAATCTTTATATAACAGTATGGATCCATAATTTTCTCCTTTGGCTTCTGCCCCGTCCTCTGTTACAGAGCTGGCAATGCATTAGCTTATATTTCTATAACGGCATACAAGCATTAAAAATGTATCTCATCTGTGTACCATAATAGTTGTAGAATTATAGAGCAGCAGGTCTGGAAGCGACCTGGAGGGGTTATTTAGTTCAACCCCTGCCAGAGGCAGGATCCAAACCATCTAATACAAATCCATTGTTTAACCTCTAAGCAAAACTACAGTCAAACCTGACACAACACAAGCCATAACACCCTAACGTACCACAGATAAAGCATGGGGACCACAATGGCCAATGTTCGGCTGCTGTAAAAATTGTTAAAATGTAGCCTAGGTGTACATAGGTTTGTACTCCCCTGTCCAGTTAAGGGACGTATTGGCAGGGCAGTGTGCTGCAGAGGGACACAACAGCCCAGCGGCCACCTCCATTCCCTATAGAGTCAGCCCTAGTCAGTCAATTACTTAACTATATACAAATTTATTATTACAACAAAACCATTAAAGAGCAAGGACATAAATTATATATGTACCAATTTACAAAACAATTCACAAAACGATAAACCCTATACCATACACACACACACGCATGCACGCACACACATATACACACACATACACACAACCAATTATTATTTAAAAATACAGATGAACAATAGAACAACCCAGAACAAAGGATATTGATTGGGCAACCTTATAACTCTATTAATATACAAACTATTGCTTCAACTTATTCACATAAACCATAAGGTACAGTCTACAAATATAACCAGTAATACTTAAACTACCTGGGTGCCCTCCAGGGCAGGGGCCCCAATCCCAAGGTACCACTACAGGAAAAGAGGTGTGGGGAAAG